TAGTTATGATTACGATGACGACGACGATGACGAACCTGGATTGAATTCTACCTCCAGCAGACCGCTCAGCTCTTTGCTAGTGTACAGTATCTTCACTAATTCCTATAATGATGATGACGACGACGATGATGATGACGATTGGGACGATGATGATGATTGCACCAGCAATAAAACCATCATCAGCATCACACTAGCTTCTTCATCATCATCATCAACACCATCATCATCATCACCATCATCATCAGCTTCATCATCATCATCATCAACACCATCATCATCAACACCATCATCATCATTAACACCATCAACATCATCATCATCAACCTACGCACATTGCTGTATACATTCTTCTTCATTGGCGTGACCTCCAGAACTGATGATGATGACGATGACGAAGATGATGATGACGACGAAGATGTCCACAATCTGACCGTGTCGTCATTCCCGCACGTGATGAAGCAGTTAGCCAATAGCGACGAGGGAAATAATGACGTCACCGATGAGGACGACGTGGAGGAAGATGTATGTGGAGTTTTTTTTTCCGGAAATACCTGGAAGTATATATATACAACACGAATAGTATAATTCGTGTACAATTTTGTGTACAAAATGAAAGTAAATAGCCATAAAAATGCGTATAATAGCTATGAACACGAACACAGTACCCATCCTGATTGGTGTCCGAAAAATTCATCATGGGGTAAAATTCATCGTGGTGTAAAATTCATCATGGGGTAAAATTCATCGTGGGGTAAAATTCATTGTGGGGTAAAATTCATTTGAGACTCATTTTGAAATTTGTCGAAATTAATTGAAACGAGTCGAAATGTGAATTATTTTCGAAAGTTCATTAATAGACTGTTGACTGAAAGGCAGTATTGACGAAGGTCAGGAATCGAACCTAACACCAACAGCTGTACCAATTAATCGATAAATTAATTAATTAATTAATCCGAATAATGAATCAATTTCGGCAATTAATTGACGAATTAGACCGAATGGTGAATAGATTTCGGCATCTCAACGATTAAACGATAGCTAGCAATTAGTATCATATTGCACGATAGGAATTGAACCTACCGTAGCTGGCCACCCACAACCACCAACGATAATCTAAGTAAACGAATTCGGGTTCGATTATCAATTAATTAATTGAACGGCCTCGCAAATATTTCCGCTCCGAACTTCAATACCTTATAACAATACCGCAATGAATTATCCACTATGAATTTTCCCCCCTCGATAAATTTTCCCCCCTCGATGAATTTTCCCCCCTCGATGAATTTTCTCACGATGAATTTTCCATGATGAATTTTCCCAGGATGAATTTTTCGTAACTCATCATCATCATCTTCATCATCGTCTTCATCATCCTTTACAATTCTCTAACTTCAACATCTACTTAATTATGCTGGTTTTATGAAAGATATCTGGCGGATCTGTGCTACAGAAGTCGGGTTTGGATACATAGGAGTGTATCTTATATGGATACATAGCTGGTTGGTTTGTACTATCGTCATCATCAACATCATCATCATCACAATCTCCGCCACCATTATCACCATCACTATCATCATCATCATCGAAACTAACCTCCAGGCCCCAAACCGGACCACTGTGAAAGAGAAATGACCTAATTTTGGCGACCTTTTTGAGGTCACTGACATCCCAAACGTAGAAGCTGTGGTCATTGTAGAGGCAGGTGAGGCGTTTGTTGCTGTCGTCGAAGCGAACTGCTATGACATCAGGGTGACGCTGCTGTTGCCTGGCTGAATCGCCCTCTCTGTGATTGGTTGATTGGTCGGTTGGTTCGTCGTGATGATTGGTTGATTGGTCGACTGGTTCGTAGTGATGATTGATTGATTGGTCGACTGGTTGGTTGAGTGGATGACAGATAAATAGATGAAAGGATGGATATATAAATGAATGAATGAATGAATGAATGAATGAATGGATAGACGGATGAATGAATGATAAATGAATGATTGGTTAAACGAGCAAAGTAATCTGACTAAACAAATCCCCGCCAAACACACCAAAAAAACACCCAACCGAAACAACTTACTCATGGCCACTGAGTGGCGCTCTACCACCACCACCACCAGCATTGATATCATGATGCAGAGCCACATCCACTCCAAGCAGGTGTGGCAGCGGCAGAGTGGCGATGTAGTTGAGTGTGGTAGCGCTGAAGATGCGTATGATGCCGTTCGAACAACCAATGAAGATGAATCGCTCGTCAGAGGAAATGGCGTTTGCCTTGTCAGTCTAAACAGTGTCGGGTGATATTCGGGGTAAAGTTTAAAAAATCGACCACCCAAAAAAAGATACTAAATAACTTACTCTGAGGGAAACCCATTTCGTAAGGACCCTCTTATCGTTAAACTCGCAAAGTTTTCCGCTATCTGTGATGGAGTACACGTTGGCAGACTGCACTCCCACGCCACAGCAAACAGCTGAGAATAGATTGTTCTGGTGCTCGCCTGTCGTTGTTGTTGTAGCAGCAGCAGCTGTAGTAGCAGCAGCAGCAGTAGTAGCAGCAGCAGTAGTAGTGGCAACAGTAGTAGCAGCAGCAGCAGTAGTAGTAGCAGCAACAGCAGTAGAAGTAGCAGTAGTATAGTAGTAGTAGAAGCAGCATCAACAGTAGTAGCAACAGCAGAATTAGTAGTTGTAGCCGCAGTAGTAGCAGCAATATCAGCAGTAGCAGTAGTAGTAGCAGCAGTAAGGTCAGTAGCGTCGGGAGCCACATGGTTAGTAGCAATAGCGGCAGTAGTAGCAGTAGTACATTTTGTGGCTTTCGTTATTATGGTATTTATTTATAAATGGAATGAAATTCTCACCTAATATTCCGTTCCTACCTAGAAGTGGTAGGGTTTCAGTCTTGATCTAATGGTGATGAGAATGATAATAACAATAAGAATAATAATCATCATCATAAACATCATCATCATCATTACGATCATTACCACATTCATCCTCATCATCATCGTCATCACAATCATTACTACATTCATCATCATCACAATTATTACCACATTCATCATCATCATTATCATCATTACAATCATTACCATATTCATTATCATCATCATCATCATCACAATCATCATCATCATCATCATCATCACAATCATTACCACATTCATCATCATTACAATCATTACCACATTCATTCATCATCATCACCACAGTCATCATCATCGTCGTCGTCATCATCACCATGATCTACCTTAGATTTACTGGCGTCCAGGTACCAAAACTTCACGTGCCTACTTCCAACCGTAACAAACATACTCCCATCTTCCGAAAATGCCACGTCGGTCACCTTGGCAACCATTATAATTATTTGTTTTAATTATTCGTTGTTATTATTATTTATTATTATTTATTATTATTAATATTTATTATTATTGTTATAAATAATATTATTGATATTATCATTATTATTATCACGTGATTAGTTGAGTAAATTTAACCATAGCCACAAAAAATCCCAACATCATCATCAAAAAGCATCTCCACAGTTACTTCTAACACAACTACAAATACTACAGCTGCTGCCGCTACTACTAATACTACTACTACTACTACTACTACTAATACTACTACTATTACTACTACTACTACTACTACTAATAATAATAATAATAATAATAATAATAATAATGATAATAATAATAATAATAATAATAATAATAATAATAATAATAATAATAATAATAATGGGAACATCTTTTATTTTTCACCATAAAAAACATACAATGATAAAAATATATATATATATATATAAGTTAATGTTAATTAAACAATGCGCAATGATAAAATTTGTAAAAATTGTATAAAATAATATTAGAGGTTAAGACCATTTTGCTCATTGTGAAGTTAAGTGCAGAACGGTGAAATATATTTAATTAGAATCATAGCTTGTTATGATAATAATAATGATGATAATAATGATAATGATAATAATGATAATAATGATAATAAAAACCTTAGAGGCGACTTTGTTACTTGCCACCTTGATGTTGGTCCTCCAGTTCCAGACATTCACCACCATGTCATGGTGGTAGCCAACTGACACCACGTACTTCAGGTTGGGTGAGAAAGCCTGGTGACGATGATGACGATGATAATGATGATCTCGGTGATGATGATGATGGCCAGAATGATGATGACGATGATAATGATGATCTCGGTGATGATGATGATGGCCAGAATGATGATGACGATGATAATGATGATCTCGGTGATGATGATGATGGCCAGAATGATGATGACGATGATGGAATGGTGATAACAGCCTATTGAAACTATGGATATGAAAATTAGGCGGAAATTCTGATGACGATGGCGACGATGATGACGTCAACGACGACGATGATGACGTCAACCATGATGATGATGATGATTGATGATGATGTTTCCTGATAATGATAAGCACTAACCACACATCCCACCCCGAACTTGTGGCCGATAAACTCGGCTGCCTGCACCCCTTCTTCCAGGTCCCACACCCTCACAGCCGGCTGGTGGCCGCTCTGCCGATGAAGTGATGAAAGAGTGAATGGAGGGAAAGATATTTAGCAACTCTAACCATAACCATAATCCCATTACAATCCCAATCAATCCCATTACAATCCCGATCAATCCCATTACAATCCCGATCAATCCAATTACAATCCCGATCAATACCATTACAATCCCGATCAATATCATTACAATCCCAATCAATCCCATTACAATCCCGATCAATCCCGTTACAACCCCATTACAATCTCGATTTCAATCCGTAGCTCACCTCTCCAGTAACTAGGTACTTGCCGTCTTTGGAGTAGGCCAGGCATGTTAGTGATTTTTTGCAGACGTTTATCAAATGCTGTATTTGCTTGTTCTTCTTCGGATTGTATATCACAACCACACAACTAATCGCGACGACGACGACGGTGGTGGTGGCGGTGATGATAACAGCGATGTTGGTGGTGATAATAATGATGTTGGTGGTGATAATAGTGATGTTGGTGATAGTAGTGATGTTGGAGTCAGGAGCGGGTCTTAACAGCGTAGACGGGGGGGTGGGCCAAAAATTTAAAAATTTTGAAATTTGACAGAGGGCCAAGAAACTAACCAAAATTTGTACCAGTTTGGCTAAAATTAGACTAGTGACATTCTTAATAGTTCATCACGTCAATTTTTGATAGATTTCTCATCATAAACTCTGTTCTTCTTAATTATTAAATGAAAATACTGTTCATAATGTTCTTAAATCTATATCAGCAACACATTCACAAAAAAAACGCTATAGCGTGTGTTCAGTAATACATGATGTTAACAAACCGGTCGATTCAAGATACTTACTATAGATCAAAAACGCCGAGATTCACATTGGCAAATTATACATTTTTATGCTCTGGATGTTGAGTTACAATGTGAATCTAGTAAGAAACTACCAGAAGTTATTTAACTATATCAGCGCAACATTCCCAAAATTATTATAGTGTGTATTTCGTAATGATTGTGTCCAATACTTGTGTACTTTTCGCGTCTAAGAACTGATTTTTACCGACTTCTAATAGCAACAATGCTCACGATGGGGAGGGCCATGGCCCGCCCTTTCGGCCCCCTACATCCGCCACTGGATTGAAACGATGATGACGATGGCGGTGATGTGATGATGGTTCTAGTGTAAAATTATTGAGAAAATTATAAAGATGACGATAAACCAAAAAACTGAGTATACACTAAAAATATAAAAAGAGAGAGTGATAGAGAGAGAAACAAAGAGAGAGAGAGAGAGAGAGAGAGAGAGAGAGAGAGAGAGAAAGAGAAAGAAAGAGATAATGAATGCTATTGAACAACAACAACAATAATAATAATAACAACAACAACATTCATAATAATGGTGATGATAATAACAACTATACAATCAAAGTTGATGTACAGCCATAAAACAACGCTAACATTACAAGGTTTCAATAAAAACTAACTAACTAATGGATGGATGGAGGTATGGATGAATGAATGAATGAATGAATGAATGAATGAATGAATGAATGAATGGATGGATGGATGGATAAATAGATGGATTAATTTTATGAATGTAAGAGTGGATAAAAAGAAGGTAAACAAATAATTTGCGAAACAAAAACTAAACTTGATTGAATTATTTTTAAGATTCATTACTTCGTTTTTTCATATATTTATTCCTTAATTCAATAAAATATATATCCATTCACCCCTTTATTCATTCGTTCGTTCGTTCATTCATTCATTCATTCATTCATTCATTCATTCATTCATTCATTCATTCAACCAACATAGCTTAGTAAGAGTAAACTTCATCGCCAGAATTGTAAAGGACGGCCAATATTCATTCATCCATTCATTCATCCATACATTCATTTATTCCTAGATTCATTCATTCACTTATTCATTCATTCATTCACTCAACTAACCCGGCGTAGTAAGCCACATTGCCAGTGTTGCTGTCGACGGCCAAGCCAACGTTCGATGTCACCGTGAGACCGTGCACACTCTCCAACTTTAACTAAATGCATGCATGCATGTTTGTTTGTTTGTGTGTGTGTGTGTGTGTTTATGTATGTATATGTATATATGTATGTGTATGTGTGTGTGTATGTATGTATAAAATCAAATTTTGTAGTACACTAAGAGTACAAAATAGATATGTCTTTAAATGTTTCCTAAACTCAGTTAATGATAAACCAGATAGGCGTTAATTCGATAGGCTGGCTGTTCCAAAAACAACTGCAAAATCTCTATCGGCTGTTTTCAGGTTTCGATCTCTAACATACAGCGTGTTTGAATCAGCAGACCTTAAACACACACGTGATGACATAGATGAAATACATTTATCTTCTAAATATTTCAGAGCCAGACCATTCAAACCTTTAAATACCATCACACCCAACTTGAACATGATTCTTTGTCTAACACGCAGCCAATGCAACTCCTTTAGAATTAGTGAAGCACGATCAAATTTTAATTTGCGGCATACCATTCTAGCAGCCTGGTTCTGAACCATCTGAAGTTTATACAAATGTTTATCAGCTATATATATAGTAGACCTGTATGTATGTATGTATGTATGTGTGTGTGTTTATGTGTGTGTATGTTTGTTTGGTTGTTTGTGTGTATGTTTTGATGGTAAGAATGTGTTTTATGCATCGTAATGTGAAGAATAAATAATATGAACACATAAACATAAAAAAAAACTATCCATTCATGTAAACAAACAAGTGAACAAACAAGTGAACAAACAAGTGAACAAACAAATATACAAACAAGTGTACAAATATATAAACAAATGTACAAACAAACAAACACCCATTTGTATGTTGCAAATAACAACGACGCATACACGTCTTGAGAAGTATTTTCCTTTCAGTTTCATTTGAAACATAAAAAAATCTTCATAAAAAAGCAATTAAAAAAACTAGCACAAAACTTCATCATCGTCTTAATCATCATCATCATCAACAT